CGCCAGCTCCCTGCACCCTCCATGCGCGCAGCCCTGGCGACTCACAGCAGCCGGCAGCCAGGGTCTCGTCGGCGCCGTCTGCGCAGTCCTTGTCTCCGTCACAGAGCCAGCGCTCCGGCACGCACACGTAGGTGCCCGGACACTGGAAGGACCCCGTGCTGCAGGTCGTCAGTCCTGGAGGGGGACAAGCAGGAAGGCCAGTCAGGCGGGCTGCTGGAGAGCCTGCGCGCGGGGTTATGTGTCCTCATGCTGCAGGGGTCCCCCAAGGTGCACAGCCAGGAGAGCAGCGAGGTCCCGGCACAGACAAGCAAGGGTGGGGTAGGAAGGGGCAGAGATAGGATCTCAGCGACGGGGCAGCAGCGTGGGCATGAACGGACAGGGGTGAGAGCAGGAGCTAGAGCAACTCACGGCAGCGGCTGTCTTCATCAGAGCCATCACCACAGTCGTCTGCCCCATCACACACCCAGAGCTTGGAGATGCAGCGGTGGTTGTTGCACTCAAACTGCACGGGGTAGCAGAATTTGTCTGGGAGGAGAGAGGAGGAGGTGAGGGCTGGGGCAACACGGAGGAAGGACTCGACGGTGGAGCGTGGGCAGGCTGGGCCTGCTGGGAGCAAGGGCTGCAGCCCAGAGAGCCGCTGGAGACGTAGCTCGCCCAGCCCTGGCAGGGCCCATGTACGGTGCTGATGGGCCCTTTAGCCATAGGACCGATGGAGGGTTCCCTGCTCTGGACGGAAACCACGATTTGAGGTTCACTCAGGGGAAGGTTAAACTAAAAACCTAAATCAAGTGAGCCAGGTTACAGGACTCGGAGCCCCAATGGGACACCCTCAAAACAACTGCGAACACACGTGCATGCACCGAGCAAACGAACACACAAGGACATTTGTTTCAGTCACAGGCAAAAGCCCAAGCTCATGGAATCAGACCCTGGAGGGGGGAAGAACTGGGACCCTGGTCCTTGACAAAGGGATTTCAGAGAGAGAAGAGGATCCTGCCTTCGCCCTGCCAGCACGCCTTGCCTTCCCCACCCCTGTTGTGAGCCCAGGGTCCCCTGTTCTCCCCACCCTGCCGCTCACTGCAGTGAGTCTCGTCTTCTCCGTTCTCGCAGTCGTCCTCTTTGTCGCAGGTCCAGGTCATGGGGATGCACCTCCCGCTTGGGCAGGCAAAGTAATTGGCTGGACATTTGGGTTTTCTCCCACCTAGTTTGTGAGGAAAACGTCAGTAAGTGTGGCGACACTGATGGAGTCCTACCTATCTCCGTGCCCAGAACGGCTCCGAATCCAGGCCCAGGGCAGGAACCCAGAGAAATTCCTCCCCAAATCCCCTTTGTGCTGATGCACCACAGCAGCGCCCAGCAGCGCCCTCGGTGCCGGAGCTGCGCAGGAAAGCAAGGTGCTCCTTGCATGCAGAGCGTCTGCTGCCTGGGCAGACAGGGCACCCCGAGGGGGAGCAGCTGGCCGGAGAGACCGTGAGACACCCGGGCCCTGGGGCAGCGCCCAGCAGGGCCCTTCTTGCCCACTCTCACCTGGGCAGTTGCGCTCGTCTGAGTAGTCTCCGCAGTCGTTGGCCCCGTCGCACACCCAGCTCGGCGCGTAGCACAGGGAGGTGTGTTCACACTTCTGGAAGGTTGTGCCCTTCACCCCAAGCTTGAAATAGCTGCTGCAGTCAGTGGCGGCTGCAAGGAACCAGACCAAACGCCCGGGGTGACGGGGGGACTGACCTGCGGCGCAGCCTCCTGCTCCAGCTCCCGTGGGCAGCACAAGCCCTCGCCCTCTCTCGCCAGCAGCTCTGCCCACTCTGCCCCAGCACCACGCTGATCTCGCCCCACGTGTGGCTCCTGCAGCCCCGAGTTGCTGGGGCAACACACATTTCCTGGCACCTCGCTAAGTGCTTCTGACGAGCTGTCAGGCGGCGAGGCGCTGAACACCACGTGCGTGGGCTGGAAGCGACAGGGAGGGCTGGTACCTCCTCCAGCACACAGTCCAACCTGGACTGGCCTCTGCTGATGGCGCTTGAACCGAGACCCTTCTCCCTCCCTTCCTTCCCGTTCAACACAAGTCCCAAAGCCTGCAGCAAGCTGCAGGACCCGGGACTCCCCACCCGCAGGCACAGGAGGCAGGAGCCTCTCTGAAGGAGCTACGGGGCATGTCACAGCCGGGGAGGCAGCAGGGGACACAGGGCGACAACCGGGGCACTCACTGCAGTTCATTTCGTCAGAAGCGTCCTCACAGTCGATGAACTGGTTGCAGCGGCTCGAATTCCCAATGCAGCTCCCGTCCCGGCAGCGGAACTCCGTGGCCGCGCAGCTCGTTTCTGCAAAGGGGGAAACCCCGCCGCTGCAGCCAACCACCCGCGCTGCAGCCACGCGCCTACCTAGGCAGCCTTCTGCCCAGCAGCCCTGCCCAGCCTTGGGCCTGTGCTCCCAGCTCTGTGTCCTCCCCCCCGGCTCACGGATTTTGCCTGCCATGTCTGAACCTGAGCTGGCCTTTTGCTAGGAGGCCTGGACCGGCGCAGAGACGCTCCTAAACTTCCCAGTCAGTTCTAAACCAAGCAGACAGGCTCCTGCAGACCTGCGGCTCTGAGCAGGCACTGCAGCAGGACGCTGCCCTTGGAGATGCGTGGGTGCCCTCTTCTCAGGAGTACAGCAGCAGCAACATGGCACCTTGCCACCGTCTTGTGCTCTGCCTGGATGTTAAACCACTATTTTTAAGTCGCTCTGGGTGCTGCACTGCCCTTCTCGGGAGCTCCTCTTCCCAGCTATCAGGGAATGAGTTTTACCAAGCTGGTGCACAGAACATGCAGCACAGCCAGGGTTTTAACCTTGACTCTCTGTTAAGCCCTGGCTCTGCTCTGATCCTGTCAAGCTGAAGGTAACTCACTCCTGAAGCCTATGTCCCTGTCCCAGACAGCTGACTGAGCGCTGGCAAGGGCTGGCACAGAGCCAGCCAGCCTGCTTACTGTTACACGGTACTTCGTCCGAGTTGTCCCCGCAGTCATCCACGCCATTGCACCAGTAGCGACTGGCAATGCAGCGGCCGTTCATGCAGTGCAGATAACCCTTCTTGCACTTGCGGCTGCCTGTGGAGAGGGGAGAACGTGAGGGCAAGGGGAGGGCAAGGGCCTCCAGGCTTTCAGCTCCTCAGGGACCCTTTAGTAGTGGAGAAACTACGCGGAGCAGGATCAGGAAACAGATTCCCTTGTGCTGTGCTGGCAACATCAGAAGGTTAAGCTCGGCCTTTGCCCAGCACAGAACCTTCGCAGCCGAGGAGCAAGGGCTGGTGTGAGCAGAAGGGTGCTGCAGCTTCCGCGGGATAGCTCACGGCACCCCGCTCTCTAGCCTGCCCCCCACAACTGGAAAAGTCCTGGAGCCCTGAAAGCCTGGCCCTGATGGGCCCAGCCCTGGAAGCACAAGAGGGGCTAAGAAGAACAGAGGGACACGAGGAGACAACCCAGGAGGCCTGGCTCCCTTTGGCCAGCAGAGCTGACAGCTGAAGGAGGGTGCATGTGTGAGCAAAGCAGCAAGAGGAGGAACCTTACTGCAGTAGGACTGCTTCTCATCTGACTTGTCCTTGCAGTGCACCACACCATCGCAGGTCCGGCTGAAATCAATGCAGTCGCCATTCCCACATTCGAACTCGTCATGCACGTTGCAGGTTGAGTTCAGCGCTGGGGGGCGAGTGAGGAACGTCAGTTCTGCCAGGATGAGATAGGCTACCTCCCCACTTCCTGCTCCCTTCCTCCTCCTCCTCTCTCCATCCCCACCAGCTCCCCACTTCCACCTCCCCTCCACCTTTGCAGCTGAAGTCCTCCTGCAGGACGCGCTCGCCACGGCAGGAGCAGTTGACGTGTCCTTTGGGTGTGAGCAGGCAGAGATCCTGACAGCCACCGTTGTTCACTCTGCAGGGGGACAGCTCACCTGGGAGAGACGGAGAACAGAGTCACACCAGGGAGAGTCTGAGCAACCTCCTCCCCTCATGCACCTGCAGGGGAACAGAAAGGTCTGGGCTCTCCCCCAAGCTCTTCAAAAGAAGGTTATGGGGGGATGCATGCGTATGGGGACATTCAGCCTCCTCAGACCTCGTAAGGAGGACACCCTGGCAACAGCACAAATGGGGCAAATTCTCTCCCTCTCCTGTCTGCACAGAGGATGGATGTGCACAGATCTTGGGGGATACATGGCTTTGGGGTGTGCGGGCCCCTAACGGGCAATCCCAGGATAGGAAAGATGGTGGGATAAACTCCACGTTCCCCCAGCCTGCAGAGGGGCTAGAAGAGCCAGAGCTGTCTGGCAGGGGGTTCGAGAAGCCCCCACAGCCTGAGAGGAGACTAGGCAGGGCAGGGGCACGTGGGGGTGAGCGTGCGGGGTGGCGTCCTTACAGCTGTCGGTGTCGTTGGCCACAGCAATGATACCCATGGGCTGCTGGGGGATGTCAACACGCAGAAGCTTCATGTCGGTGCCCACATATTTGTTAGCTCGCTGTACAGCCCTGCGTACCCAGTCCGTCCAGAAGATGTAATCACCATAGACAGCCAGGCCAAAGGGGTGCACAGGCTCCGATTTCAGGATCACCTGCCAGATATTGGCAAAGCATGAGCACCCCCTGGTCTTGGCAGTAGGACACAGCCCCCAGCATCACCCCAAACAGCTCCTATCCCAGTGCATCTGCCCAAGGGAAGACCTGAGTTCCCATAGGAATAGCTCTGCTTTGCTCTGGCAACACTCCAGCCCTGGTCCAGGTCTCATCTCTCGGCACTCTTCCCCCTCCTCCCCCGTCCCTGCTGTGGGGGCCAGGGCAGGTTTGGCCTTGACTCACGTGGCGGTGGGAGCCATCATATTCGCAGCGCTCGATTTTGTCCAGTGTGGCATCCGAGAAGTAAATCTTCTCAGCCTTGTGGTCAATGGCCAGTCCATTGGGTGTCCGTATGTCCTGGTCAATGATGATGAGAACATTGGCACCAGACAGAGTGGCACGCATGATGCTGGGGTGCTGCTCATTCCAGTTGGTCCAGAACATCAGGCTGGAAGGGAAGAGACATAAGACGCCTTTGAAAATCCCAGCTCTCCCCATGTATGTTGGATCCACCCATCCCAGCCACTGGCAGATACTGGTGGCCCATCCCTTTGCCGCTGTGGAGTTTCCAGGGACTTTGGGATGGACAGGGCCACTCCCCTCAGCGTCAAGGGGGCAGGAAGGGATGAACAAGGCAGTTTGGAAAGGTGGCGCCCCACAGTACCCGCTGGCTGGAGAAGGGGGTGGGATGTGGCTTCTGCCTTTGCTTTCAGGCACTGGCTCCAGTCCAGAGAGGGCTGTGTAGGGACAGGGGGACATGGGGCTCTTCCTCCCTGGGGCACTGGTCTGTTCCAGCCTCTGTTCAGGGAACTCAGCAGGCTCAGAGTTTCCCCCCAGAGGAGAGGTGCTTGTCCGGACACCGGCCCCCGATCACGTGGATGTGGCAGGCTGGCTGGCCCCAGCCTCGGGGGTGATGGCCACTCACTTCTGGCACTCGTCCAACACAAAGGCCCGGGGGTGATCGTCTCCCGACATGGTGATCACGGTCTCCCTCTCGAAAGCCCCCAGGCGGCTCTGGTCCACAGTGTGGCGTGTGATGGTGGAGGTGGTATAGCTTGTCCAGTAGAGCGTGTCCCAGCCACGGTGGTAGGCCAGCCCCTCCACTGAGCCCACGTCTGCAGGAGGGGAGGAGGAGGAGGACATGGATGAGATCCCAGCCCTGGGGCTGCATCCACCCCCTCACTCTTGCGGGCATCCTGGCTCATCCTGCACAGTTGGTGCTAACAGTGACGTTTGATGTGGCCTCTTTGGCAGCCTGACGTTATTGCTTTTAATTACACCCCAAAAAATCCCTCAGAAGCAGGACGCGAAACAAGCCGTCAGGCTCATGTAGCTCAAGATCCCAAGAGCGGTGGGAGGAACTCTCTCTGCTCAACCTGCTGCTGTGCCTGGATGCAGCATCTGAAGAGAGAACGGGCACTGTGGACACCCTCAACCCTCCATCTCCTCCAGCGTCCCCCAGGCAGCAACACTAACAAGGGAAAAGTCTCCCCATCCTAGGGATGGGAGAGCTGAGGCCCTGAGGCACAAAGTGATGAGCCCGGAGCAAGACAAAGACCTGTGGCAGAATGGGAAAAAACCCTCTTCCCTTCTGGAGTCTCAATCCAGGAACTTGAATCGCACACCCATCCTTCCTCTCCCATTAATGATCAACAAAAGATTTAATGAACCGGCTGCAAGAGAGGAGACCTGCTCTCCTGATCTCAGTAATAAAAGCTATCTTAAGTGCCAAATGTAAATACGCTCATTAGTGAGCACATTTTATAACCCTTGCTGGAGGTTTTCCCTAGTGACACAGAGCAACAGACATAGTCTTTCCAACAGCTGTAGGAGCCAATAAACTAATCAAGTGCAAACCAAGGGCTTTGAGGTGAACACAGGGCAAGGCCATGGCAAGGTTTGTTCAGGCTTCACAGTTCTGTCTTGGAAGTTAAAGGCAAACACAGAGCAATTCCAAAGTTTGCTGTGGTGCCTCGTTTCTAGAGCAATGTGCACGTGTGTGCGTGCCTGAGCCTCAGGATACGCTTTCCCTGCCAGAGCAAGCTTGGTGCACTCCTCCTCACTACGCTCAAGTCCTCTGTCACAAGCCGTTGTCTCTTCTAGAGACCCTGGTAGAAAATTCACAGCTGAGCCCTTAACAGCCATCGCTCAAAATGCCTCCCCCAAAAACACTAATAAAGAAAAGGAGAATAGACCCTGGGCAAGGAAAGAGGTGACTGGGGGGCAGCAGAAAAGCAGGGGCTGGGGGAAGACACGTGAGGAGGGGAGCCCTGCGGCACTCACTCTCCACAATGGTCTTGCGCCCTGTGCCGTCGTCGTTGATTTGCTGGATGTTGCCAAAGTGGATGTCGCTGTAGAAAATGCGGTTGCTGCCCTTGGAGCCGTAGCGGTAGTCGAAGGCCAGAGCGATGACGTTCTTCATGTGCTCTGCATCCTCAAAGGGCTTGATGGGCGCATTGAGGTTGTTCTCATCTGACAGGTGGATGCTCTTGAGGATGGTGCGCTCTGAATACAGCAGGTAGCCGTCGTAGTCCCGGCAGCTCACGCCGTCCTCGGAGAGCATGCCGTGGGCGCAGGCGCACGTCCTCTGCCCGTTGCCCCGGAAGAGGCACAGCTGCTGGCAGCCCCCATTGCTCTGGGCACAGATGTTGGTGCCTGCAGCAGAAGAGAGGCTTTATTTAAAGGGCTGCGCAGGCTCTGCGTGGGAGGATGTTCCCCTTGGACAACTTTTCACCTCTCTCCCAGTTCCCAGAGGAAGCAGGTGAAGACACAGGCTCAACCCACAGCATGACACAGTTCTTTCATGAGGACACAGCAGCCCATTTGTCTCCTTCCCCCTCCCCTTGCATCTGCCCGCAGTGGGAGACTAACCCTCTCCCCCGCCTCTCTGGAGAGAGCGGCCGCTGCTCGGCTCCGCCACGCAAGGCTGCCAAAGCCCAGGTCCCAGACCCACCCTTCTGCCTGGCGCGGTTGAACACTTTGATGTCCTTGAGCTGCACACCGATCCCTGTCCGCAGAGACACCGACTCCGTGGCGTTGTCCTTGCTGCCTCGTTTAATGGAGCCGTTTGCATGGGTCCTGGGAAAGGAAGGTGTCACTGAGCGACGGACGCAGGGCTCGAGCCAGCCAGGCAGCGTCAGCGCACCGTGATCGTCACTCCATCCTGCTGCTTTCCCCCTGCAGCACCCGAGCACCTGCCTGGTCCCCCCATCCTCCTGCCTCCCGCTCCCCTCCTGCCAGACCCGGGCATTCCCAACACCACCAGCCCGGTCAAGGGTCTGTACCTGTCACTCCAGTAAATGTAATCCTCAAAGACAGACACTGAGAACATGTCCATGTTGTTGCTGGACAGGACGACTTCTCGGTTTTCCCCAGTCTCCAGGTCAATTCGTTCAATCTTGTCTGTCCGAGCGTCGCACCAGTAAAGCTTCCCATCCTGAAGCGGACAAGAAACCACCGCAGTCAGCAGGAGAGCAGCGCACAGCAGGGGACCAGGCACTGCAGTGCCAGGACCGTTGGAGGGCTCATGAGGAGGGCACTGTCCTTCTAAGTGGTCTCTGTACCTCATAGTCGACCGATATCCCGTTGGGCCAACTGATGCTGACGTTCACCAGCACCATCCGCTCGGTTCCGTCCAGGCGAGACCGCTCGATGCGGGGATACTGCCCCCACTCCGTCCAGAACAGGTACCTATGAGGGAATGAGCAGGGACACGCACAGAGCTCATGAGGAGCAGTGTCTCTGGCCTCGGAGTGGAGGACAAACACAAAATCCACCATGAAGTCAAGGAGAGCTGTGATTCCTCAGCACCCCCCGGGAAGCCAGCTCAACACATCGCTGAAAGGGGGGGGTAAATCCAGCTGCTGCTTTGGACGCCCTGGGCCTATCCCTTGGCGTGCCACGCGGCAGTGCCCAGGAAGAGAGACCTGGGAGCCCTGCTCCTCCGCTGGGTGCGACCACAGGCTCCCCAGGAGCGGTGGGAGGTCTCCGGGGCGCACCCACCCTTCTAGCTGACAGCACCCTCCAGGCAGCTCTGTGCAGTTTCTCACCCCTTCTCTGGATGGACTGTAATGGCCCGCGGCTTGTCCAGCCCCTGGGAGATCACCACGTAGCGGAAGGACCCGTTCAGCCTGGCCACCTCAATGACATCGAAACCCTGGTCTGTCCAGTAGATGTTCCCTGGGGAGAGGGGGACAATGAACATCCGTGTGAGCCCTGTCCCTGACTCCCCACGAATATCTTTGCGCTCAGGAGCCCATTTCTCACCTGCAATCCAGTCCACAGCAATGCCTTCCACCCGGCCAATGCCGTTGGTGACCACGTCCTCCCGCCACGTCTGGTCCCGCTTGGCCCGGCTGATGGTGCTCAGACCCATATCCACCCAGTATATGGTATCGTTCTCTAGGAGGGGGCAGGCCAGAGCACTCAGGTCAATCACCAGCTTTGGGTCACCCCAAGGATGGTGCAGGCTTGGGCTGAGATCCATCCTGCGGCCCCAGCGTGGGGACCTGAGACCCTCCCTCACCCCGAGATGCAGATGGGAGATGCTCTGTGGGAGGGCACTGCTGAATGAGGGGCTGGGTACCGCGGGTGGAAAGAAGTTTAGGGAGCAGAGGAGGCCATCGGGACAAGGTGCAGGGGAAGGGTTCCCAACAGAGAGAGGAGAGGAACAGGCTTTGAGGAACCAGTTCAGCGTCCTGGGATCTCCAGGGACCAGGCTTGGCAGAGAGCAGCCTGTGTTTCAGGATCAAAGGGATCATGCTGGCAATGGGAGGGCTTGGGGGTCGGAGCAGCCCCCACCTCCTGTGCTCCCTCCCTCCCCGACCTCTCCAGCTCCAGCTCCTGGCAACCACAACGGGCAAAGCAGCTCTTCCCCGAGGTGCAGCAGCAAGCCCAGGTGTCCCAGCTCCCAGCCCCTGCAGTCACCTGCGTGAAAGTCGATGCCCACGGCCAGAGAGGTCCCAGACACTGGCACCAGGGCATCTGACTTGTCGTTGGGATCCAGGGGAATACCACGGATCCCCTCGTGGACCGAGTACAGAAGGAAGGAGCCAACACCTGCAACACAGACGTGGGGACAGTCGAGGCCAGCGCCAGGCAAATCCCATGGAAGAGGTTTGCCCCACCATGGGCCTCAGGACAGTCACAGTCCCCTGGAAAGCAGCTCCACAACTGGAGC